GGATTTAAGCTTGAGAAAGTGGATTCATTGAAGAGGACATTATTTTGAGCCCATAAATATGTACTTTTAATAATTGCATACTATTTATCCTGCAAACATACCATAATTTATTTTGCCAGTTTCCTGATAGTGGATCATTGGGTTACTTCTAGTTGTTTTCTATTACAAACTGTTTTGTTGAGATGATCAAGTCAGTGATGATGTATTTTTGTTGATTGTTTTTGCCAAATATCTCTCAAGAAGTGTCTTACCAGTTAACACTCCTATCAGCAGTCTATGGGAGTGCCCGTTTATTCTCATAGTTAACCAGCAATAGAAGTCACCAAAATGTGAGCATTTTTAGTTTTGGCAAGTTTTGGTGAAGCATTGCATCTTGTGGCTTTAATTTGTAGTTTTTTTAGTTTTAAGTGAAATTGTCTCTTTATTTGTTTACCAACCACTTATATTTATTTTCTTGATAATGAGCTATTTGTATCTATCATATTTCTGTTGGGAGTTTTAATTTTTTATATTGATATATGTTTTAATAAAGATTAAGGAAGAAGGTGCTTGATCACCTGGGTAATTTGTGTGTTTTTCAAGTTTCTTGTGGGTCTTCTGTCTTGTTGTGGTTGTATTTGCCACTCTGAAGCTTTACATCTCTTATGTAGTCGGGTTGATCAGTCTTTATTTTTTAATGGGTTTGAGTTTGGTGACTTGTCGTGATTACAAGTAAATTCACTCATGCATTCTTCTACAATATTTGTTGTTCAGCTTTTAATATTTGAATTTTTAATCCACTTGGCATATATTGCCTTAGAAGGAGTTAGAGATCCGTAGACTTTAAAAAAGAAATCAATGGGGAAAAAAAGGTAAAATATATAAGGCATTTCAGTATTTTCTCTCATTTTAAAAGATCAAAAAAAAAAAAAAAATACATGCTACCTAAAAGATGTAACTGATTCCTAGTGACATTGACTGAAAGGCCAGCTGCCCTTTTACATGGTGACCAATAAAGTTGACAACACTGACCTCTTTGTATCTTTGAGAGATATTGTATTGATTTACAAGAAAAAAAAAGATATTTAAAAATGCATTTACTGGAGAGGTATTTTGTATATATTTGGATATATTTGCAGTAGAGCATTGAATTCTTTTGTAAAATCCTTAGTTAACATCTACTTGGAAGGTCTTCCTCTGCACTCTTCCTTTCTGTCTCCCCTTGTTTTTTTCCCTGGTTTTTTAGTTGTTTCAGCAACATTTATTGGGTGTTTGATGTAGAGCACAGGAAGAGACTGTAATACTTGCTGTACTCACGTTACTTATAATGTTGAAAGATATGCACAGTACACCTGTAGAACTGATGTTCAGAAGCCTTTGGCATTTTTTGCTTAGATACTATGTTGAAGGTATGTAAAGGGCCTTTTGTCTCACCATATGAATTTGTGAGTTAGGAGAGGGTATATAAAGTTATGCTATGGGCAGAACTTCTACCATAGGAATTTTTGTGACGGTTAATGTCCTTCTGTTCTATAGGTTCACTTTGATGGCTGGAATGGATGCTATGACTACTGGATAGATGCAGATTCTCCTGACATTCACCCTGTAGGCTGGTGTTCCAAAACTGGACATCCTCTTCAGCCTCCCTTGAGTAAGAGACACAGGATAACTTGAACAGATATTTCCATTTGCTTTTGTAGCATGTGTAATTTTTTAAAATCCCTTTCCCCTTCTCTTTTTATCTCTACTATATATTTATACACTATATAATCCTTTTTTATTAGATTTTTAATTATCATAGTCACAAAAACATAAAGGAAAAAATAGTGCCTGGAAAAGTATATAGATATTCTTTTACTTTTATTAAAAAGTAAGCATTGCAAAAAAAAAAAAAAAAAAAAAAAGTAAGCATTGCTTTCTAAAATTAGTCGTTTGTGAGGCAACTCACACTTGTAATCCTCATGACTTAGGAAGTTGAGGCAGGAAAATCTCAGTTCAGAATCAAAAGAGCTAGGGGTGTACCTTGGTGACGGAGTGCCCCTGGGTTCAATACCTAGTACTGCCCAAAATAAACAAACAAAAAACCCTACAACAACACAACAAAATATATACAATGCTGTACACACACACACACACACACACACACACACTCAACACACACACACTAACTTTTTGAAAGACAGTGTGTCAGAGTATCTAAATTTAACATATAACCCTAATATTTATACCTTAATATTATAGTTTTGCAAAATGTTACCATTGGGAGAAACTGGGCAGTGTAAATGAGATCTTCCTCTGTATTATTACTTTTGACTACATGTGAATCTACATTTATGTCAGTAAACATTTCAGTTTAATTCAGTTTTTAAAAACAGATGAAAAGAGTACTTAACATATCATGATCTCGGTTTTGGAGGAGGATAAATAACTTTTAGAAAAAAACATAGGAAATATGATATACTATAGTCATGTTTTTTTAAAAAAATATCAATGTTCTTTATTTACTTTTGGTTACTGCTTATAAACTGCTTATGGGCACAACAACACAGGTACATGGTGTTCATTGCAGCATGTCTAAAATAACAAAACTTGGAAATATTGTTTAAATAAATTGTGGTGTACCATACTGCAGACACTGTACAGAAGTCATGAAGAATGTTAATATTGCCACGGGAAGATTTATAAGACAAGTTAAAAACCAAAGGAGATTGTCTCAGAGCAGTGCTCATCTGTATTGTACCTTTTATATGGCAAAACAAAACCAGAAACTTGATACGTGTGCATATACAGATATAGATTGAATCTGAATGTTTAGAGGCACATTAGGGAGGGTAAAGCGCCCCCTATGTGGCCCACATGAAAGGTCAGTATACAGAGAAGAGCCAGAAAGGGGGTTTGTAATCCTTATCCCATATTGTTACATAGTGTTTGAAGTTTTCACAGTGTGTGAGTATTAGGTAAATTATATTATCTACTTGATAAATATTTTTTTTAATTTTTTTATTGCTCAAAATATTACAATGATCTTGACATATCAAACATTTGATTCAAATGGGGTACGTAATCTTAATCTTATTTTTCCACGTGTACAGATTGCAGGATCACATTGGTTATACAGCCACGTTTATACATAGGGCCATACTAGTGTCTATTGTATAAAATTTTCTCATTAAGATTTATCTTATGTAATTGATGGAATTCTGAGACAGATCAGAGTTTACCATTTCACTATTGAAGAAAGAAAGATAAATCATGTGGACTAAAGGCAAATTGCAAACTCATGTTATTTGAATCACCTAGTATGCAAAGTTATTTCTTACTTATCTAGTTCTACAAGTTTGTATAGGTTGTGAATGAAATCAAAGAGAAAACTCTATAAAATAGAGATTTTTAATATAGTTTTAACTTTTATAGAATCTGCTTGTTTTTCTGTTTGTATATGTTGATTCAAAAATTGAATTTTTAAGGACTTTTTTCTTCCCCTTTTCTGATCCTAAACATTTAATTCTTACCGATATCTGCTTAACTTTTTGTCCCACTTTCTTTTTCTTTTAATTTTATTTTAAGGCCCATTAGAGTTAATGGAAGCTTCAGAACATGGTGGATGCTCAACCCCAGGATGTAAAGGGATTGGCCATTTTAAGAGAGCCAGACACCTGGGCCCTCACAGGTAAGTGCTCAGCATACACTACTACTCACGTGACACTTATTCTCTCCCCCTCCCTCTCCCTCTCCCTCTCCCTCCCTCCCTCCCTCCCCACCCCTGTAGTTGTAGGTAGACATAATACCTTTATTTTTATTTATTTATTTATTTACTTATTTTTCTGCGGTGCTAAGGATTGAACCCAGTGCCTCACATATGCTGGATGAGCGCTCTACTACTGAGCCACAACCCCAGCCCTTCACTTGACAAATACTTAAATGGTCATATGATGGCTTCCTGTTCTGTGTGTGTGTGTGTGTGTGTGTGTGTGTGTGTGTGTGTGTAATGATTTCATTCTAATAGATGTGAACTAATTTTAAATTTAGATTCTATAAGAAACATGGTTACCATGGTGACTGTGTAAAATTGAAGCATATATCTGAAGTTAAATCTTGCTGGGAGAAAAATGCATTCATTGTTTAAAATAGATTTACTCCAGCTATTAGGTTTTTTTGTGGCATTGTGCCTTGTTTTATAGATGTGTGGCTTCTAGTTATTTTAAGTTTGCCATTAGTAATGAGAAGGGGCCTTGTTGAAAATATTTGGTAGAATATTATGTGATTGGGTGACTTAATAGTTTGAATAATGAGAGGTTAGAATATTGTGGATTATCAGTGAAGATCACAAAAAAGCACAAATATAATCAAACATGAGAAAGTGGAGATGAGAAGTGTTTTTCAGTATTTTTCTCTTGCTCATAACTAAAAGGAAACTAATCTCTACATTTAAATTTAATGTTATTGTTTAGTTGATTTGGTGATCTTTGTAGACATTCTGAAAATATTAGTAAAATACCAATAAATTCTTGTGATTTAACTGGAACTTTTTAAGGAACAAAAACATCATCCATTTGGTGTGCATTAAAATAATAATTTGTCAGTGTGTTGTAAACTCATGTTATTTGAAACACCTACTATATTTATCTAGTTCTCCAAGTTTATATAGGTTGTGAATCTAGGTCTTTAAAATTTTCTACCTAATCCTCCAAGTATTAATAGGAATTGCAAGATTAGTGTTATTATTTTCACCTGGGTATAGTGTCCTCTTTCTTTCGTCTCTGTGACTTCTAATCATGCTTATCTTCTTTTTGCAATACTCCTCCCTATTTCTTATGAGGATCAGTATGTCCCAGAATAAAAAATATGAACAGAGGATGATGATTCCGTTTGCAAGTATCCATTTAGCAATCCTTTTTTGGATTAATTTACTGGATTAATTTAAACTGAGTTTAAAATACTACATCTTGGAAGTTATTAAATATTGCCTAGTGAAAGCAGCTGAATTATTTTTTAGGCATTTATATAAGTCTGAATACCAGAAATAATTCATGAGCATGCTAATTTGCCATTGTACATTTAGTAAATATTTATGAGCAGCCAATAGAACAATGAATACATATCAACCATTTATTTACTCTGTGCAAGGGATTGCCCTAATTGTTCTACATGTATTGGATAGCTTTCAGAACAACCCAGTGATATCAAAGCTATTACTTTCCCACAAGATTTGGTGAGGCCACTGAGACACTAGAGAGGTTTCATAACTCGCCTTGCAGCTGGTTTGATGGGAGCATTCTATAGCTTGAGGCTCTGTATTCTTTACCACTCCCCCTGGCTGCTTTTCAAGGCACTACTCCATGAATCATCATCTACCTAGCCTTCAAAGACTCATGTACTGATGGAACTAGAAAGCTATACACAATTTAATTAAAATATAAGATACAAAACAATAATTAATGTTGAAGCTTTGTCACATTTACCTTAGCACTATACAATCCCATGACATTTACTGGACTAAAGGCAAATTGCTCAAATTGTGAAGGAAAAGAATAAAGAAATTCAAAATACAGGTGAACACTGACAGTGTGCTATTGGGATGCCATTGAATTTTTATTTGATCTTTGGTGGTCAGGGGCCTCTGGACAGAGGAATGCAGTTCACAGAATGGGTGTGAGGCTCCACCCTCTGCCCAAGTGCCCTCTGCTCTTCTCAGCCTTTGAACCGGGTTTTCTTAGCCTCCCTGACTAGGCTGTCCTATTTTCGACTCCTGGTGTTCTTTATTCTGGCAGGATATTAATCCTTAAAAGGCCACCCTGCTTTCCATTTCTTTAGTAGGCTCATGGAATAGCTTGCTGCATCATGGATATTCTTTGAAAGGTTCATTTCACTGGCACTTATTTTTGTCCTTGCAAAGAACGCTGCGTTTAGGAAAACATAATGAGAAAATTCTCTCTGGATTAATTTACTGAGAAACTGCATAAATCAAAACATGCATTCTTTGCTTAGATAACAAGGAAAGATGCTCTTTTAGCATGAATATAGTCCGTTTTATGCACACATAAGGAAAAGGCTGTGTTTTGACTAGCATTTGTTGCTGTCATCTCTGAAGATTATAAATTGAATTTGATCCAAGAAGTGTTAGAAACAGAACATGCATCTCAGTAATGAAGTTTGAGAATGTGAACTTTTTTTAATGTTGGAATAAAAATGATCAGTGAGAGTGTCAGATGTGGAGTACCATGTTTTCTAGGGATATTCCTAGCCATATTACTTAATTCTAAACCCCTAGTAAAGTAGCATTAATATCAGTAATTTGGTAGGATGTAGTAGAGATTTCCCACACACTATTCTAAGGAGTCACACGTGTGACCTATTTAATACGCTCCTCAAGTCTGTGAATTGGGCACCATCTTACAGATGTGGAGGCTGAGGTTCAGTGCCTAGGTGTGTACCCAGGATGAGTGTCAGAAGAAGCAGGATTCATCCCAGCCCTGATGGGCATCTGCGTCTCTGCATATGTCTGTATGTTGGCTTTCCTGGTAGAGCCTGTCTTGTGTTTTTTTTGTCAGGACAAAGTGTGAGAATGATCATAGGAACATTTAAACTGGAGATCTTGCCTGATTATTTAAATAAATATGCTTCCAGTTATAAAGTTTTTAAAATGGCAGTGGAAAGTAGTGAGTCAGGTGGTCCTTTCACCTTACCTAATGAGCAGACCAGTGTTACCTAGAAAAAATAGCCCCCCTGAGAGGGACCATTAGGCAAGTATTTGTTTGAATGGCTGATATGGAATTATTTGCTAATGGAGCCATGTGCAGCCTAATAGAGCCCTTAAAGGAGAGAACAGTATAATCCTATGTTCTATTCCTCTGCTCTGAAGAATTGTGTAATGGTAAATTGTGTAATGTGAATGTGTGTGTGTACCCAAAATGGAATATACACACATTGTTTATAGAATGAAACCTTACTAAGGTTTTGTCACTAGAAGCTTAATACGTGAAAAACTAGAAATTATTACATGTATTATAAGAATGTAACTCTTTGTATCAGCACTAGTGACTTTTCAAAGTTCATGTACAGTTTTAAAAATAATAACTTGTATTTATACATTACAGAAGAAATAGTAAACAGAATACTCAGTGTTTCTAATATGATAAAAAATCACAAATCTCTCATGTTCCTTTAAGCAGGAGACATAGGAATGACCTCAATTCCTTGAAAACATGATCATTTATGAATTGCAATATAGTTCTTGTCCTAAGGGGGAGTTAGTGTGGATGGGTGAGATTACTGAAATACTTGGCATATGTCTGTATGTTGGCTTGCCTTGAAAGGCATCAGGTAAGAATTATTTTACAAAGTTCCTTGACCTTGAGCCATGCTTCACCTCTTTCTGTCAGTGTCCTTATTTGTAAAATGGGTGACAGTAGTATCTGACTACTAGGAGGATGTGATTAAGTACCTGGAACAGTACCTGGTACTTAGTAAGTGTGTGGTACGTTGGAGCTGCATACGTCTAGAGAGCAGCTGGCAGCTTCATGTTACAAGATGGTACTTTCACATCCATTTCATTGTCATGGATTAGGAATAAGAAAATTGTTCAACATTCCCATGCACTCTTTACCCATATGGCACAGCAGTTAAGAGACAGCCAGAGCTCATGGTCAGACTCCACCAAGAACTATTTGAGTGACACTGCCCAGTTGCCCTGTCCAAGCCTCAGTTTCTGCATCTGCTAAAATGAGTATTGTAGTAGGAACTACTTCCTAGGGTTGTGAAAGATGAATTAGGTAAGACACATAGAGCACCTAGCCTGGTAAGGTGCCCAGAGAGGTCACAGTTTACTGAGGATGATAAAGAAATAGCCTGGAAAGTTGTGCTTGATCCTTACTGAGTGGAGGACAGAGCAGCAGAGAGCGTTTAGGACCAGGCTGCCTGCTCTCTTGCGCAGCATGTTATCCCTTTAGGGCTGTGGCTGCTTGTGTTTTGTGGCATCCCCTTTCTTCATCACCTCCTGCTTCAGTAGCCATTGGCATTCTTCTCCGCCCCACAGGAGCGGCAGAATGGATGGTGTGCAAGCATTTTTTATTTTTCTCAGGGCTCAAAAGAAGTGAAAGGGTCAGTGTAAAGTCAATAACTGATCATCACAGGGCTCCCTGGGTGGGTGGTGTTTGCCTGCTCATTAGTAAATTTCTGCTGAGAGCCTGTGGTTATTTTCCCTACTTTGGATTGAGAATTTTGAGATTCCCTTCTGGGCTCTGGCAATCTGTTGTCCCAAGGAGAGAGAGAAAGAGAGACAGAAAGCGATTGATTTAGATAGTAAGCATCATCTGACCAGCATTTCTGCTTTTTTCTTGGCTACCCAAGTTTACAAAGGTGATCAAGAAATATCTGTTCTTCTTTCATTTATTCAATAAATATATGAAGTCCTGCCCTGAAGAGCATGTAATGTAAGTCATCTACTCTGTGCCTATGATGTTTAGCTGGGGACCCAACCATCTAAGAATCCTGCAAGTCTTTGTGTTGTTGGGACTGTGAATAGGACCTCTATGTTCTTTTATTTGCTTTGTGTCCCATTATATTCCAAGGTGAACATACACACTGTTGTTCACTGATCACAAAGCCACAATAAGTGAACTTAACAATAAGTGAAACTTGATGATTGTGCTATTCTAGGATTAGCAGCATATTGTCAAAAGAAACAAAAACATTGTCTTTGATTTTTTTTCTTCTCTTCTGTTGTCAGAAAATCCAAGTAGATAAATTTGCAATAAAAATATAAAATAAGAGGAATGAATGATGGTTAAGATCTGAGGCAGGTTAATGTATTTCCTTTGTCAGAAAAAGAGAATAGGCCAGGCATACAGTGGCGCATGCCTATAATCCCAGCGGCTTGGGAGGCTGAGGCAGGAGGGTCGTGAGCTCAAACCAGCCTTAGCAACTTAGTGAGGCCCTAAGAAACTCTGTGAGATCCTGTCTCTAAATATAAAAAAGGGCTAGGGATGTAGCTCAGTGATTAAGTGCCCCTGGGCTCAATCCCCAGTACCAAAAAAAGAAGAATGAAAAAGAGAACAGGAGTTAGCAGGAGGAGCTAGTTCTGTTTTTACTCTTCAGGGATGGGGGACAGGGAGCAGGATTTACTGGAGATGATAAACTTTGGTCTTAAACGTATCTCTTATTAGGTGACCTAGGATATTTGAGTAGAAGTATTTTGCAGACATTTGGATTCTGCCTAAAATCAGGATCAGTGTTAGGCAAGTGCTACCTCCTATAAGGAACTGCAAGGGAGGAGCCTGGTTTCCTTCCTCAGGAGGTTACAGTGTGGGTAGAAGACCCACCCATCCCAGTTGGATGTTGCCATCCAGGTTTTTCATCTTGAGAAGTGGTATGAAAGCAAGTCAAACTTGGCATCTGCTCCACTATGAAATTGAGGAAGAGGTCAGGGCATGGCAGGGAGCCTGTGGTCAGTGGCATGAGTGTTGTGGCCCAGGAGCCCCATCCTATGCAGACCATTCCAAGGGACTGTGCTGGTGCACCCTGCTCTCTGCCCGAGCCTAATCCTCCAGCCTTCCTCTGTATTCCTCTTTTCAGTAAGATGAATAAAATAGAGCACTCATTCTGCTGAGCTGATTCACTACTGTATGACCTTGGACAAGTAATATTTCTGCTTGGATGGCTAATTCCTGATATGCCCCAGATCTACTTATCCCTAATCATTCTTATCTCAGAAAAAGGACAAAAGTGGTATTTCTGTTACCACCAGTTCTTCAAGCCAGAAACCTAAAGGCTGTTTTTACATGCCATCCCTTGTTCACTCACAGGTCACGTTGGGATCACAGAAGATGCTATGATGGTCCTTTGTACTTTTCCTCCATTTCGGCCACATATATGCACATCTCCATCGTGTCTTTACTCTTAAATTCTTACCTTGCTCCAGTTTTGCTCCCTTGAGATCTAGCCACAAGGCAGCCTGAGTGATTTTTTTTTTTTTTTAAGTTAAACCCTATCATTCCCTTACCTGAAGCTCTCCATGGTTTCCAATAAACCAAAAGTAAAAGTTTTTACTGCAGATTACTGGGCCCTGCATGATCCTCACACTGTCTGCATCTCCTGGTTTGCCTCATTCTCACATGCTGGCCAAGCTGGTCTGTCTCTCCCTCAAACACTTCTGGCTTTATGTCCCACATCCTGGACCAGTCTCCCCTACGAGTGGACTGAGCATCTGCTTTCTGACCATTAGGGCTCTGCCCAGATGCTGCTCCTCCCAGGAGACCTCACATCCTCTCTTATGTCATACTGTTTTACTTTCTTCAGTGTGAAGTTCTTTAACTTATTTGGATGATTGCATTGCCCATCTCCCCATAGACTGTCAGCTCCATAAGATCAGGATCTAGTCTTTTTATTTTCTATTATATTTCCAATGCCTTGAAAGGTAATTAGCACGTAATAGGCACTTGATAAATACTTGCTTGATAAATACATACAAAATTATTGGAATAATTAAAGACTGAAGTTACTGAACTTTTTAAGCCCTAGTTTATCTCATGAAATGCTTTCTTCATAGTGTGTTAGGAAGAGTAAGCAAAATGTAGCATGAAAAGCACTTAGCCCTATGCTTGATTGATAGTAAATGCTCCATAAATATTACTGGCTATTGCTTTTGTTATTGTTGGGTTAACATTATGTGAATTTATATCAACATATGATCAGGTGTTATTTACTTTTTTATTTTGCTTAACCAGTGTACAGTAGCATGTAGTTAAATGATATAAAGGTTGCATTTTTTCTTACAGGATATCAGTGATAAATCTTATAAGCCATTATTAGAATTATCTAGTAGGAAAAACTCTTCTTTCTTCCCAGGAGTGTGTATCAGATTCTCTTGGTGGATGGTAAATAAGCATTGTTTAAAATTTCCCCTAGGTAATTATCAATATTCTCACTATTACCTAAACTAAAGAAAAGAACAGTTAAGACATGAATATAATTTACCCAAAGAAAAACAATTTCCAGATTTAAGAAGACTTCCTGGGGCTGGGGCTGTAGCTCAGTGGCAGAGTACTTGTTCTAGCATCAGGAGTCTCTGTAGGCCCTGAGTTCCATCTCAGAACCCCAGAGTGGAGTCTAGGGGTGCTTCCTATAAACAATCAAGGTAGACAGAGAGGTCAGTGAGATACAGGTTCTCACTTGTTTTGGGTTCTCCACTTGTTTTGAAGACTGGAATGCTGAGACCCAAGCACAGGTGTCTACTAACTAGTGTTAAATTAACAATGACCTTGATTTTCTTTGCTTAGATAATAGGAGCCATCATCCTCAGACCTCAGAGCTGACCTGCAGGCACAGAGAGGGAAGAGAAAGGAGCCACAGGGGTGGTTGTCCGAGTCAGCTTCTGGTCCCTTTTCATATTAGGGATAGGATTAGCTATATGTGTGTATTTTCTAATACATTAGCTATAGGTGCGGACCTGAGGATGGGAATGTTCCACAGGGGGTCTCCCTCCCTTGGAGGCAGCAACTATTACAAAGGAAATTTAGTAGCTCTTGACTCTCTGGAGCCTGGAGGATCCCCTTAGGAAGCAGATGTGCCCCATGGACCAGATTAGTCTCTCCTACTTCTCTCAGGAGCCCTCCTGTGATGTCTTTAAGCATTTTCTTCTCAGAGATATGCACAGCTTTTTACCCTTGAAAAATACAAAGAAAATTTTTCAATGACCATTGCTTAGTTTTAAAGATTGCAGCAAATTGCTTCTTAAGAATCTATGCAAAGGCATGTTGTCTATCAGACTATACCTAAATTATGTTTTAAGGATACAATATTTCATACAATAGGTCTGATCATTCGTATAAACATATGTAAATATACATAACATACTCGGATCAACTTTAGAATTTTATACTCTGTAGCCTGTCATTTAATTGAAAGAAGTATGTCTAATGGAAATGTTCTTTTCTTTTTCTTTTAATCTGTTAGTGCTGCCAACTGTCCCTATTCAGAAATCAATTTGAATAAAGACCGCATTTTCCCAGACCGCTTAAGTGGTGAGATGCCTCCAGCTAGCCCATCATTTCCAAGAAATAAAAGGACAGACACAAATGAGAGCTCTTCATCTCCTGAAATCAGGTAATTAAAATGATGATATTTGTGTTGTTGGGAAGCACTCTTATTGAAGAGGTTGCCTGTCTTAGACATTTAATGTTCTGTGGTAATGTTTTCCTGTGCATTGTTGAAAAGGCACTTCATCTATGAAATGATGGTAGGGTTCAGTGCTTGACAGCTCCCCCTTTCCATCCTGACTCACATTTTCCCAAGAGATCAAAGAGTCTTTCCTCTATTTCTTCTTGTTTTCTTCTTAACCTTAACACAAATCTGGCTATGGTGGCTCATATTTGTAAATTCAGGGACTTGGGAGATGGAGATGGCTTGAGCTCAGGAGTTCAAGGCTGGACTGACCTCCATTTGAAAAAAAAAAACAAAAAACTAATTTCAGTGTGTAGCCCAAGGCTGGAAACACTGTCTTTAGAAGGTAAAGAAATGGTCTTCCATTTCTTTCCTAGTGCATTTCCTTCTTTCCAGGAAGGTCCTAACTAGTAATGTTTTACTTTGAATTGTGAGTATGTTTTAATAGTTTTCAAGTGTCTTATTCCATTATGATGAAAATGGCAGATGTGTCCCTTTCTAACTTGTGGAAGGATAATGACAGAGCACCTGATGTCAAGTGGGAGAGGAGAAATAGGGGCAGGACTCTGCTGGTCATGGGATTTGATCCTTTTCTGTAGAAAGCCTTGGAGCCTTGTTCTTGAGGGTTCAGATGTGCTCACTTGCTTTAATTGATCTTCTCAACTCACTTTTTGACTTTGGAGAAAGCTGCAGTTTTAATATGCAGGAATATTAATTCCTGCACATTAATTCTACTTTGAATTAATATGCAGGAATTAATTCAAGAATTCTACTTTGCTTCTCATTTTTTTCCACCTAACCAAGAAACAATAAGAAAGGTTCACCTAGGGCAAATCAATAGTATAACAAGAGGTTAGAATAAAAAAAAAAATGACAAAGATGATCAATTTTTAAAAATGTTTATATTTCATTATGTTTTTATTAGTGCATTATAATTATGCATGATATTGGTTTATTGTGACTTTTCCATAAATGGACATAACATAATTTGCTCCATTTCATTCCCCAGTGCTTCCTGTTTCTTTTCCCACCTCCCGTCACAATCCTCTTCCTCGGCTCTATTGGTCTTCCTTCTATTTATTATTTTTTTTGTTTTGTTTTTAATTGGTACATTATAATTATACATTAAATAAGATTACTTGGAACATATTCAGGAATGCACATAGCATTACCAATTTTTTGCTTAATTAAAAAGTATTTTTCACTTAAAGCCTAGAGGAAGTAAGTAACCTCATATTGATTAAGAGCTTCTATAATTCCTGGTGGAAAAGTTAAACTTTCCTGAAAGTAAATTATTATTGGTAGATTAAAAAATATTTATTGAGTATTTTTGATGCTATAGTAGGTATTATACAATGATGGTTCTCATTTCTTCTAGGTATTTTTCTCAAATGTTATTTCCCTGAGTAAATACTATCAGTGTTACAATCCTTTTCTGTTCAGTGCTTTCCCATTTATTTATTTAGTGATGCTGGGTATAGAACCCAGGGATGCTCTACCACTGAACTACATCCTAGCCCTTTGTATTTTTCATTTTGAAACAGGGTCTCACTAAGTTGTCAAAGCTGGCCTTGAACATGTGACCCTCCTGCCTCAGCTTCCTGAGTTGTTGGGACTACAGGCATTGCCCCAGCTCCTGATAATAGCTTAAGATGTACAAACCCAAGGGACCCTAAAAAGTTGATGTTACTAAACTTTGTCAGGTTTTTTTCCTTGTCCGATGTTAACACTTAGTTTCCTGCCATTAGGCTCCAAGCATGACCATCTAATCTCTAAATGTAGCTTTTAAGCTTAGGTATTTCTCTGCAAATCAAAAAGTATAATGAGATTTCATTTCACTCCAGTCAGAATGGCAGCCATCAAGAGTACAAATAATGCTGGAAAGTGTGTGGGGGAAAAGGGACATATATATACTGTCAGTAAGATTGTAAATTAGTAAAACCATGATGGAAATGAGTATGGAGTTTCCCCAAAAGACTAGGAGTAGAATCTCAAAATGACCCAGTTATACCATTCATCAATATTTATCCTAAAGAATTTTGAGCATACTGTAGCAGTACATGCATACCATGTTTATAGTAGCACAATTCACAATAGCCAAAACTATGGAATCAGCGTAGGTGTCCATTAATGTAAGAATGGATAAAGAAAGTATGGTGTAGTATTTGTATATATACATATATATCTGCATATATAATTTGGCATAGTTGATGTGATATACATAACGTAAAATATATGTAATGTGACATATATGAACACATATGAGGGGTGTGTGTGTGTATAAATGGCACATATTTATATGCACCATGGGGTTTTATTCAACTATAAAGAAAAATAAAATTATGTCATTTGCAGGAAAATGGAAAAAACTGGAGAAATTATGTTGAGCAAAATAAACCAAACTCAGAAAGTTAAGGGTCATATGTTTTATCTCATTTATAGAAGCTAGAGAGGAAAAAGGAAAGGTAGGGGCAAATTTCATGAAAATAGAAGGGAAATCATTAAAGTTCAGGAAAGGCTCCAGGGGGAGTGGGGAGGAAAGGAAAGGGAGAGAGTGTTGGGGAACACAATTGACCAAATTATATTGTGTGCATGTACAAGTATGTATCAACAATTTTCACGATTGCCATAATCATAATGCACTAATAAAAGAAGGAAAAAAAAGATTAAATATTTCTGATTCATATCCAAGGAGCAAACCAATAAATAGTTTAGATCCAGCACTGTAAGAGCACATCATAGTGTTTTATGTTGTTGTTGTTCTTTTTCTCCATAGAAAAGGAGTATAACTTGGTGATTCAAAGCATAGGGTACTGCTTAGTTAAATCTTGGCTTCCCTACTTCTTAGGAGAAGACGAATTACTCCTTACATGTTATTAACCTCAGAGTTTGTGAGATGGAAAGTTTAAATATAATATAAAGCTCTTATAATTTGATTAATAAGTCAAAAAGCCCTTTATGAATGTTAGTGGAGTTTTTTTGTTTTATTTTGTTTGTTTGTTTGTTTGTTTGTTTGTATGGGGATTGAACTCAGGAGTGCTTTATCACTAAGCCACATCCCCAGCCCTTTATATATATATATATATATATATTTTTTTTTTTTTTTTTTTTTTTTTTTTTTTTTTTTTTTTTTTTTTTGAGACAGGGCCTTGCTAAAGTTGAGGCTGGCTTTGAACTTAAGGTTTTCCTGCCTCAGCCTCCTGAACTGCTGGCACAATAGGCATGTGCCACTGCACGCAGCATAAATGTTAGTTTTTATTAATGAGGTTGAAAGAGGAATAGTTTACAATTTGTTTCATAATACAAGTGAGTATCCCTTATCCAAAATGCTTGGGATCTGAAGTGTTTCAAATTTAAGCATATTTGCATGGACTTTACCAGTTGAGCATCCCTACTATGAAATTCTCTAAAATTGCTCAAGAAGTTTCAGGTTTTAGAGATTTTAGAAATTTGGATTGGGACTGCTCAATCTGTTTTTCTTTTGTTCCTTAGGAAAACAAGCATGGCTGGCCAATTTCTTTTATATTCCTAGGTTATGCTTTGGAGAGATGGCTTAAATAAGATGATTCATGTAATATCAAATTATCTTTTCTCTTTTTTTCCTGTAATCATTGCTTTCCTGGATATAATTTTCCACGCAGATTTTCTTTGCAGCATTCCTAATAATTTGTTAAAATGCAGTAGACAGTCTTTTCTTTAATGTACTTTGTGACAGCAAGAGATAGTTTTGACCCCCAGAAGTAAATCCTGAGACCGGGAGGTGGTTGCAGGTGGTTTCCTTGGGATGTGAAGAAAACATGAGTAGGGGAGTAAAGAAGGGGACAAGGAAGGAAAGGCAGCCAGAAGAAACATAGTTGTCATACTGGTTGCCACTGTGGGCAGCAGGAGCACAGATCTGGGAAAACTCTGAGATGCTGTCCAAACCGCACATCTCAGCACTAACCCAGTAGAGGGACGAGGGAGCTGAACTGTGCAAACACCACTTCTATTGCACTACAGTGAGGCTGCACATGGCATTCCTCAGCACATCTGCCTTGCTGCATGGCAGCCAAAGCAGCCATTGCCCCTGGAATCCTGCAGGAAAGCAGTGCAGGTGGCATAGGGGACATCAGCCCCATGTGTACTGAAGTGGCAGTGGGTGGACAGAGTGCTGATAGCAAGTGCTGTACCATCCCATGTCCCATTCACCTCTTCCGCATGCCAAACAGCCCCTAGAATGAGTGATACGCTGGTGTTGTTTTTGGTCCAGGACTGATATAACATAACCAAGAATAAATGAACAATCGAACGTGTATATTCTGTACACACTGTAGCATTATTTTAAGTACTACTTACTCGCATAAGCCCACAGGAATTACTGATGTTCCGTAATAGTAATTCCTAAAGTTAGCTTCATGTCAGATTCCCCGCAACGTCTTTAAAATTCAAATTTGGGAACCTTTCCTAGATCACCAGAATTTTCTAGGAAAGAACCTTGGAATTTGCATCTAAAAATTCATTTGCGTGTATCCCTCTGCTTAAAATTTTTCAGTGACTTGCCATTACTAAGGATTATGACCCTACTTCATGTGGCCTAGAAAGTCCTGTGTCAACTAGCCCCTGCTGAACTTCCTAGCCTTGCCCCCACCAGGCCCTTTTCTTTAACCAATGCTTCATGCATCCTGGTCCTCAACCATCCTTTTCTCTCTACCTCAAACCTCTGTGTGTCTTCTGGCAAATCTCTCACCTTTTGTTTGGCATTAACTGTCCCTTCCTTAGGGAAGCGTCTTCTGATCCTCCAGACTGCCAATTCTGCCCTTCTGTCATGCTCTCTTATCACACATCCTGATTCTATTAAAGTGTTTGTGTACTGTGCTTAATGATACACTCCGTAAAGGCAGAGACCGCGTCCTATCTCACTCTGAATTAGCCTCAGCCCTGAGCATATCAACAAGTAATGGTGA